TTCTCAGTATGGTAGACTGAACATGATGAAAACTATCATCTATATTCCATATGTTAGATAAAACTGACATTTAAGATAAAATTTTATATACATTTAAAAATATTTATTTCCTTCTCATCTAATGTTTATTTTACAGGAACACATTCCTGCTACCTTCAGGTCCTCTATGTTCATTTGCAGCTATGTATTTGCATCTTTAGAGAATGCAATGGTTTTAGTTGTAGCCTCATGCTAGTCAACAACATTTTGGGCTCAGTGGAAAAAAAAAATCCAACAGCAGAATTCAGTGTATGTCTGCATAAATACAAATATTTACATTCTAAATAGTAGGGGGTTAACTCAAACAGTTAATCAGTTACAAATAATAATTTGTCTGTGTAACCTATATTTAACACAATTTTATAAGAGGGCCCCAACCTGCTTATTTCTACAAATTCTTAAAATTTTTTAAGAACTTCCAAAAGCTTAGTTATTATTATAACCTTGCCAGGAAGACAAGAGCAGTGGCTGTGTTCTCAGACTTGACACTCCGAAAGGAATCACCTATGTATCTATTACCTTTTATGAAGGAAAGTATCAAGAATATTCAAGTTGAAGATTCAAGTTTAACGTTTACCTGAACAAATAGCAAACCAATGACTATTAAAAGAGTTCATATAAGCAAACCACCTTGTATGTAAAATGCCCTAATTCTATGCATATGCAATTAATGAGAGAGATGTGAATGACAGGAATTAGAAAGGAAATAAATGCATCAGCATTTCCCATGACATCACAAGCTACAGACATACTATCTACAAGGCTTATGATACCACTAGCACCTTTCAGCACCATTTCCCTTCCACTAATCTGATTACCTACCTGATGACAGAAAAAGATTTTACTTGTACATTTTTATTTCATTATAATTTCCCATCTTTAGAAGACTTTCTGCACAACTGCTTCCTGAAGTAGATGGCTCCAGGCTAAAGATTCTTGCCCCATCATAGGGATATACTAATCCCATTGTCTAAATGGGAAGAAAATAAAGTTATAAAGTTCAGGCAACCCATTACCCAACCTGCACACACCCTGCCCACATGGCTATTCTTGTGCTGGAGTGGGGAGACTTCACAGAATACCCTCTTTACTTATGAAGAAAAAGTGAATTCCATGCTAAATTGCCATTGCCATACCCCATGGCCATGCTCCTCTTCTCTAATGCTGCCTCCTATCTTATAGACTAAAACTGTCCTCTCTAGACGTGCCTCCTCAGTGATCTCACCCAGGAGGGGAATTTGGTCAAAAGCTAAGAATGGGAGATGGGGCGTGAAAATCACAACTCCAAGAACACCATGGTGGTCTTCCTTAAGGGAATTTTTTTCAGGCTTTGATGATTAGCATTTTATGAAAGGACATGTGAGAAAGAAATGTCTTTTAAAGAAAAAAAATTGTGAAAAACCTTGTTTTCAATTAAATACAATTTCAATAGGAAAAAAACCCAACCACCCAGTCAGCCTGACACTTCTTCAATAGGAGAGAATTCAAGCTTGCAGAATATAATTGACTAGCATGGAATTTTGCCAGGATACCAAGATAAACATAATTACTCATATTAAGAGTGTTAATTAATTGTTTGTGAACAAAAATAATTGGCTGCTTGGTTTTATAGCTCATTAGAAAGCCAACAATTCTATTAGACATTGCTGTCCAGTAGCTATACTAGGACCACTGAGCTGTAATCACCAGAAGTCTGAAACTAAGCCAGGGAAAATCAGTGAGAGGTCGACCACTGAAATCAAGCTCCAAGAAAAAAAAAAAAAATAGTGATACCTAGTAAATAAGTATTAACACTTCCTGGGTAAAGGAGGGGCTTTTTTTGGTTGGAGTTTTGGTTTTTTGTTGGTCGTTTTTTCTTTTTTTTTTTTTTGGGGGGGGGGGGGGGGGTTGATTTTTTTTAAAATTTTTTCTACAAAACTTTCAAAGATCTCTCAAAAAAACCAAAGAGCTGTCAGATGGAGTTAACCAATATTACTTATGAATTAGTGACCTTGATATACACTACCTATGACACATGATGCAACTAAAAGTGTAGTGAACTCCAGCAGCTTCCCTGGCAGAGCTACGCACAAGCACTGTGATAGTCAGCTTCGCAAGAGCTTCGTCCGCACCTGCTGGGGGTTATTGATTAACACACAACATGGGGAGCGCCTGCATTCTTGGCAGACAATAACTATATTCTTACAAACCGCTGATGGGCTAAACAAGCTATTAATGACAGGTTGCTCTTCATCATTTAAAACGGACAGACTCTGCTGCTTGACCACAAGGACAAGCAGGTTATTGCTTTGTAATGTTATACAAAAGACACAAATAAGGTATCTCTAATGAGTAAACCACACGTGTGGCTCCATGGTTCTTTTTTAGTAGAGCTATTAATAGAGAACAGGACCTATTCAGAGTTGCAGATATATAATCATCTATTCCAAGGTTTCTACAGTTTGTTAAAATTTGTTACCCTGAAAAGGAATTAGCTAAGTATAATTCAGCAAATAACCACCAAAATTTTTGGAATAAAAGACTGATTCCCCTATGCTTACAACTTTGCAGTTTCTTTTCTTAACTAGCTAAAAATAAAATATGCTTCTGAGCAGATGTAGCGATTGGTGGTCAGCAGGGAGTACGGCTGTGACCCCCTTGCACATTAGCCAAACACACTAGACAGCCCGTCCTCCCAGCAGCAGCAACCAGCCCAGCTCCTCCAGGAGGGCCAGCTCTGACTCTGAGAAACAAGCACATGGACCTGCTGGGAAGTTCTCCAACCCACAAAGAAAATATTTTTGTTTATGAAAGCATCTGTTTTTAAACTGGAAGTATTTCCAAATAACAGTTCGTAAAATATTTACCAAGTTTTTGAACAGCAGTTGTTATACTACTTTATTTCACTCCTGTGTGTAGCTATATGCTAGATACCAGGATGGCAGAAGCTACTTAAACAAGGGTAAGCAGTAAAATATGGGAACATACAGACCCCGTAAGGATTATATCACAAATTGTAAACCACCCTTTTTTACAGAAGGGATTACATAATAGATTACCCAACCAATATAAAGATTCTTCTTTTTTCATAGGGGGGAAAAAAAACTTCTTTACAAGTATTTGGAGATGCAGTAATTTAAAGTAGTAGAACCAGAGCAATCATGTGGCTTAATTCTTCTGAGGAATATCTCTATAGTTTATTGGATTCCAAAAGGTCTTTGTGAACTTGTCTGACATAATATTGAGATATAAAACAGTTTCCAGCACGATTACTCCCATCTGTGGGTGTCTTGGGAAACAGTTAATTTCCTCAAGCACCCATTCCCAGACAGATTTTCTAAGATCACAGGGAAAAGGAAAAAAAGTCTCAAGCCTGGAGGTTTTTGACAGCTTTTTCGCAGAAATACAAAGCAGCTAATGTGTTTAATGAAGACAAAATTTTATTCAAACATATAATGAGTTACCTTGTAAAGAACTTAAGGCACCATTACTCTGCAGAGAATCTTTCCAGTACATTTTCCCCCAAATCCCAGAGAAACCCTGAACATCAGTGAACACTATTCCTGGTCCACCCCCCCGCCCCAGGCTACTCAAAACCCATAGAGCCTCTTCCTTCCGCACCTGCTGGTTTGAGGTGACATTATAAATCAGACCTGCAGCTCCAGCTACTGCAGCACTCCCAATTTAGAAAAAGTACCAGTCATGGTCATCTGTCAAGACTACAGCATCTTTATAATGCATTAGAAAAATTCTCTGAACCCATCAGATTACAACTACCTGACACCAGCAGAGGAATGAAACATTTTAAAAATTTATTTAAGAGATTCAACTAGCATGCAAGATACCAATGAAACTAGCAAACAAGATAAATTTTCAAACTGCTCTAAGAACTATTCATAACACTCAGCTATTTATTCCATTTACAGATTCAAAATACTAGTTGCAATGGAACATTTAATATGCCACCATTATAAAGGGGAAACTGTTGACAACTGTGCCAGAATATACATCCTTTTCATCCCGCTGCTACTCCAAGAAGATATTGGTACACAAGCTCCTACAAATCATATTTCCCAAGTGATTCCCAAAATGCGACGCAACAACAGAAAAGCAATTTTTTCAAATGCTCATGCCACACATTGTGATAACATTTTATTTTAATAGCAGTACAGAAACATATATATTATTTAGATCTTATGTGAAAAAATTAAATATGAATTTAAACAATTCTCATGATGTACTGAGATATACTGCCATTAATAGTGAATATTTTGAATTAATGGGATTTAATAATCTGTTTATATGAACTACTTAATGTTCTGATGATTGCTGATACTAACATTCTAGGCTCAATGAGCTTCAGACTTGTGACAATATTGTATTTTTTCCAGTTTTGATCAACCGATTAGTTTTTAATGCTAAGTATGTCTTGCCATCACTTGTGGTTTGAATATGTTTACTTAAACCAAAAATATTTTGCATCTCAATTATTATTTTATACTGCAGCACTGAACGGAATTTAAGTCAATACATTTTTCATAAAGCAAAGACAAGAGAAAAAACAAAGCTGTGCACTTCTTTCAAAGACTTCAAATTACTAAAACATACCATATTTATGCATGTAATATTTGATTGTGTGTGTCTTTTTTTTTTATCACAAGTTTGTTGTTTTCAGATCAGGATATGCCAAAAATCCAACACCAAACAATTTTTGTTTATAATTAAGGCAATCATCAATCCAAGGATTGTAGTCCATTTTATTTCATCTTTACATCAATAAAAGTAATTTAAAAAAATTAAAATTCCCTTGAAATGGTAAGATAAATGAAAATGTAAGGGCCTTCACATAATAACAGTAAGCTGACCCTCTGGGAAATGGTTGACTTTCTCAATTCAAGGTATTCAAAGCTCATTCAAAAGTGTTCATTTGGAATGCAGATATCAAAGATGATGCAAATGTTCAAGAGAAAATTAAAACTTACCAGATGTTCGAATCCAGCTTTGATGTTTCCAGAGTCCCTGTAACAGAAGAACAAAAGTTCTAAATAGTTGCTAAACCCTTGTCTACAACGATTTATGTTTAACTCAAATGTCAAAACCATGTAATTTCTTGAGTATATAAAATTTTTACTTTTAATATGTTAACCATTACAGTACCTAAAAAGTATCAATTATCCTAACGCGTAACTACAGAATTATTTAAAACCTCAAATTTTACCTGCCCTGAAATTGCTATAAACTGTAGCAATGCAACAGGACGCTCGTTTAAAAACCAACATTAATATAGTTATCCCACTATTCATATTGGAATTAATAAAACAAGACAGTGCATAATGCTATGTATCAAAGCCACATTCAGTGGCTCATGGTTCTTCTTTGTCATTACTTCAATAATAAAATTCTGTGACCATTTACAAAGATGATAGAATAAACGAATCTTATATCAACTAACTAGGTCGTGGCAGCCATAGTGAAACTTTGCATTTGACTCCTGACAGCTGAAAAAATACAATGTACAGATACAAAAATGAGAAGTAATGTCACATAAAGACAGCTGCAAAAAAATGGACCAAACTACCAAAGCATGAACATTGAAAAGCAAAGAGAATTCAGAGTGAAAATTAATCCTTAACACATCCTGCTATGTAAAAAAGATAACCTGAAAGAAAACCGAAGCAAAACAAATTTAAAAAAATCCCCAAATCCCAAGCCACTAAACAAGGAGGCTGGTTTCTGCTTTCACTGACCCCAGATTCTACCTGCTTCCAAAAATGTCACTGTGCCTTTTGAGGAAGATGGGCTGCAACCATGGCAAACAAGGAGAAACCACCCCACAAGTGTTTCAAGTAATCAGTTATTGAACTATATAATGTAGTGTGTATTTATATTTATAATATTAATTTTTCAACAAATTATTCAGCTTTATCAAACCACAGGTGCAAAAACCCCAACTATATTCCTCTAAGACAGCAAACCGTGCGAGACTGAGGCTTCCGTTCTCTGTAATACTTAGTACAGGCTGTGTAAGGCATAATGTGAAGTTACACACAAAAATGGCTAAATATATGAAATTTTTCTAGATACTGAATAAGGCTACATTCAATTATACATTTTACAAACTTGCTGTACTGTATTTTAGACTTTTTACAGAAAGCTTTTATTTATAATTTCATAAAGCTTTCAAAAAAGTCTGCTATGCACTTTTGGTCTGTTTGAATATATCATGAATGAAGCAAGAGAAAAAGATGCACCTTCCTTACACCATTATTTTGTATTTTGAAACAAGAATTGATTATTCGAGTCCATACAATATTTTAAATAGAAATCATCTCCCACATCTATTTTTGAGGTGCTAAATGGCCTTAAAGAATTTAATCACTTTGGAAGCAGGATCCAAGCAGCTGATGCGAGGACCTCCCAACTAATGGTATAAAACCTGCCCTGTTAGTGGTCTGTCTCCTGTGCTGTCCCTGTCATGACTTCATCAATATTTGTGCAACTCCTTTTGCCCTGTGCTGAAAGCAGACTTAATTCAATTATCGGTCTCAAAACTGATAAAAAAGGTCCTAAAGTGGAAAATGCGAAGAGATTATTGGCAAATGAATAAAGATTTGTATCGAACTAACACTGAAGAGTACAGCAGGGTGGTTTGGTTTGTTTGGTTTTTTTTTTTAATCATTCCCTGTCTTAAGTCTTCTGGGAACAGTGAGTTTCCCTTCCCCTCATGCAGCACATCGATTTCTGAATTAGACTGCAATATTAAATAATTAATATACTTGCCATGATTGATGTTTTGCATTAGTTGAATATTAGGTTATCAATCAAAATCCACTTGGTTTAATGTAATAATATTGAAAAAGTGTCACTGGCTGTTCATCCAATTTGTAGTTGAGGCAGCACAGATAGTAATATTGGTGTAACACAAGGCTCTAACGCAGGAAATGCAGTGGTTGAACATACATAAGGCAAACATTATCAAACTAACCAGGACAAGGTTGAGGTTGTCCTAAATAAACCTTGTGGCACCTGTCACTTCAAATGAAAACCTCTTTCCAGCCGGAGGCTGCCATGCATCAATCAGCGATGACAACTAGTGAAGCCATGGCATAATTTTATCTTTCTAGTTAAACAATGATTATACAAATAAGACTCCCATTAATACTGTATTTCAAATATTGTGTTATGCAAAAATCAGACCTGTTGCTACAGCTCAGTCTAACACATAACCTTAGATGTCTACAGAATACCTTAATCATTAATACTGTAAAACACTACAAATAAAAGGCAAGAACAGCTTTATGCACATTCACTATTATAATACTCCTATAAAGGAACACCATAAAAAAAGTTATATTAATTTTATATCATTATCAAATAATGTTTTACTCAACTTTTACACCACACAGTTCCCAACAAGATACATATTTGACTTTCAAATCGTCTCCAGTGCACCACATTTATTTTTTTGGTTCATTAGGCAAGTTTGGTTTTATTCTTGAGATTTTCTTTTTTCCATCAGAGAAGCTCTGGAATTGTATTTCATCAATATAGTCAAGAAATTGTGCTGTAAAATACTAGTTGACGTGCATATATTTTAAAATCATACATTAAAACCAGTAAGCATAATACTCAGGCTAATCCAAATGTTAGCTTTTGGTAGTGCCAAGGGAAAAAATTTCAGCTGAGCTAAATCTGAATCATGGTCATGAGGGACCTGTAACAACAAGCCAGGAATTCAATTAAGCAAGCGTAGCCAGCTTTTAGATTACTTAAAACCGTAGAGTAGGTAACTAATTGAGGTAATGTTAACTTATTAGTGCTAGTTCCTTTGCCAGTAAACTAAAATAAGATAAAAATATTCACTAGCACTTGCTAAAAATCCTGATTTTAACCTAGACATATATTCATGTTCATAAAAGTAGGTTCCCATATAAAACTAGCCATTAATCAAGGGAGCTGAAAAATATGCAGTATCTTCAAAATACCTGAACTTCAGCTATTTTAAAATAATACAAGATTTCACTAATAATTTACTTTTTAAATACATTTATAGCAGTTTCACACAGGAATTGTAGAACTAGTACTTGTTTTTGCACAACAGAGCTAAACAAATTACTGGGTACATGTAGATACACTACTTTGGAGCAAAGCACCCTCAAGAAGCTACAGTCTTAACATCATACCACAATGCCAGTGACTTATTTCATTACTGTGAGGCTACCTAAAACCAAAGAAATCTCAGAGATATTTTTACGTATCACTAAGACAGGCAATTGAGCTTGTTAGTAGGTCTCTGTTATATACTTTAAAATGACAAACAATTATGAGAGACAAGTTTAATCTGTGCTGCTGTTCAGATCAGTAGCATCGAACTGGAAGTATCCTGCAATTTTAAAAAATTTCTTCCAAACGAAAACAAACCACTTCAGTTGACATTCTTAGTTCCTCTCAAGTTGTTATCAACTCATTCTCAATACTTCCTTTATATTCATAGTTAAAATTTTCTTTGCTGCTGTTTTTTTTGTTAGAATCCATAGGCCCCAGAATAATTCTATGGATTATCTATATCTATGGATATTACAGGATAATTCAGGTTGAAGGGCCTCTGGAGGTCTGCAGTCCTACCGCCTGCTCAAGGCAGGGTCAACTGTGAGGCCAGACCAGGCTGCTCAGAGTTTTATCCAGCCTGGTCTTGAAAGGACAATCCCCCTGGGCAACCTGCTTTGCTGATCAAACGTCCTCACTGGGAGCATCTTTCCTTCTATCTAGTCCAAACACCTCTTTTTTCAATCTGTGCTGGTTGCATCTTTCCTCCTACCACACGCCACTTCAAAGAGCCTGGCCCCTTCTCCCTGGTGACCTCCCTCCTCATCAGTCTGGGTGGCTGCTGTCAGGTGCCCTCGAAGACATCTCTTCTCCAGGCTGAACCACCCCCAGTCCCCTCAGGTCCCCTCTCAGGTCAAGTGCTCCAGCCCCTGACCATCTCGGTGGCCTGAACTCCACACTAAACAGTCCCAATGTCTGATTTTTCTCCTCAGAAGCCAAATGAATAAATAAATCATCTCATCATTAGCAAGGCCTTTGGCAGAATCCCCTCCAGTTCCACAACATTAACTACAAGCTGCAAAGAACAAGGTCATAACGCAGTGTTTCGGGTCAGGCTGCATCACACTCTCAAATAAAGGCCTTTTAACTCCACTCTTCATGAATGCCAATGTGTTAGTGTTGTTGATCAGGCAGCATTGTACCAAGTGGTTACAGATAATTTTCATAGACCTCTCTCTTAAAAATCTCTTGGACCATTCAACAAGCACATCACATAATGCTTTCAATAATCTGTCAAGTATCATTTTAAATTAATCCCTTTTTTGTTCCATTATTCCTCCTGGATGAGGAACCTAATAGTGACAGACGTTCTTGGAACAACCTCATGTTTTCCTGTTCTTTATCCTCATGTTAACATGCTTCTACTGCTTGCTGTCATCTAATGGCCTTCCCTACAGATCTTCCTCCGAGTAGCACACACATCCGCTATTTTTCTTTTGCATGTTATCTAGAATACAAGCAGGGACTGATAAACAACCTGAAAATAAACAGCTGAATCTCTTCAGAAGCCTTCAGAGCTGCTTTATGAACTTCAGCAGGTGACAATATGTTATACACTCACCAATACAAGCTAAACCCAGCTTCAGTGGTGGTCTAGTCCCTTCTCCCACCTCCCTAAGCTCTGCGTTGAAGGTAGATAAAGGGAGAGAAGATAGAGCTGAGAAAAAATATGCCTTAGATGTTAGGAATTATACCAAGGGGTGTGGTGAAGAGGATGAGTTAGACTACTGCCATAAACATCATAGCCACTGCCTCTCTTGTCTTGAGCTTCTTCAGTTAGTGAGAAGTCTACGCTGACCCAACACGGCCAAAGTGAGGAACAGTCCTACTAAATGCAACTATAGTGGAGATGACAGCTATGGGAGAAGTAGACTAGTCAGCTATTTCTAGACCTTTCTTTTTGTATATCATCT